TCTGTGGTAGAGTTAGTGTGCAACACATTTTACTCACTATAGAGCTTTTGTTATTACTGTATGCATCTTCAGTGCATGTTTCGTCGACTAAATGTTTGAGTACTACATTATTAATTTTTTGGCCAAGGATAACAGATTATAAGATTTCAATAACTGATTATTGAATAAGTTGAATAGTATCATTTTATTATATACGTTCCTCTTTGTGTAAACAATCCTTCTTACCTAATTTTTATTATGTGAAAATATTTCTGAGGAAAGTCTTTTCTCAGATGAACAAATTTCATGTATTTGGAACTAAATGCTACATGCTTTATCGTAACTCCAAGCAAAGTATGCTTTAAACGTGCAAACTTAAACTGAATATTTCAACGTTCACGTTACTACTCGAAAAGGAGTAGTAACGTAAACGTTAAATGTCATTCGTACTCGACAATGAAATTCATACCAACATATCATTAGTGACTTTCTGGGTTTTGACTATTACTATTCATGCAACAAATTCATTTGTTATAATCTTCTAATATTAATTTTCCCTTCTATTAGTTCGCAAACTTCTTCTGAATGGAAGAACCGATCAAATATCGACAACAATCATTGCGATTGAAGTGAATGCGGTGGATTTATTCATATCAGTTAATGAAAACTTTTATGGAGAAAATTTATGAAGATGAAATAATTAAAAAGTTCAGGTCGAGAAATAGTTTCAATGAATATCACATTACTTTTCACGTGTTTAGAATGGAGACGTCTTTATTTTGACGACTACGTAGTGTGAACCACAAATATTGTTCAGCTCCATTATATCTATGGAAACTTCCTTGAAACTATTTCCCGACTTGAAGGTTTTTTAATTAATATTTTATTAAATTTTGTTGACAAAATTTGAAAGATATATGTTAATTTCATGCAATTAGCATTTAAATTATTATTTTCCTTTCAACGATGTTTTATCAGAAGACAGTTCGAAACGTAAGTTTCTCGTCTCTGGATTTTCAATTTTTGTTTAAGGTTTTGTATTTTTTCATTTATTTTGAAGTGGATTAAATATTTTATCTTCACTTAATTAGTTTGTATTGTAATATACAAGCACATACTGTTTATATCGATAACTATCAATTATTATAAATAAATTTCTAAAATTTTGCAATATCATGTTTGATGCCTTTTGGTTAGTTTAAATTTTGGATTATTTGGATAACTGTAACTTGAAAGAACAAAATCATTTATAAGAAATACAACGAAAACCAACCTGTAAAATACGTCAGCAACTAGTAGCTACAAGTGGAAATGTAATGAGCGATGTAAACAGCAATTTTCAAGTCACTAAAGCAGATACATATAGCTTATAATAACTACATTTTAGCTTTTAATATTATTCTACAAATCACAGCTAATTTCACATCTTGTGTACGACAATCTCTAATCACTGAAAACTGCAGAGTTATTCCTTATGCTAGAAAGAAATGACTTGGTGTCCAGTGCATTTTACATACTCAGCTTCTCGATACCAATAATAGTGCCATAAAATGTAATCAAACAAATGATTCATACATGTACCTAAGAAAAAAGCCCCAATTAATAATAGCAGGTGACCATTGACGGGGTGCAAAATGTTTGTTAGTAGTTTATCTGCCGTTGCGATGGTCAATATAACCTGAAATATTATTCTGTTAAGTACTCACATTTTTTTCAAGAGCTGATTTTCTTTATCGATGGTAATGTCACAATTTAGAAACTCGTTATTTTTTTGGAAAGTTAATATTTTATTGCTGAAACTAAATACATTAATAGTCAGATCGAAGTATTTTGACAAAGTCCAAGTGACCACAAGTTTGCGTCAACTCAATCACAAGCCAAATAATGTTGAAGATTATTGGATAATTGTGAGTAACAAATTTGCTCAAACAAAATAAGATTGGATCTTAGTTCAGATTTTGATTTTTCAAAACAATCGCGTTACTCAAAATTAGAATTCTTAATAAGTTCAAATAAAAGTAAACCAAGCCAAAACAATACGCGTTTTGTACAATAAGCACTGGCCAGATGTGAATTGGATGAGTATTTCGGATTACTACTATGACGAGAAGAGCCGCTAACAACACAAATACCTGCCCGATGCACCACAAACACCGCATATAACCGCCGTCCAAATAGTTTGCGATGCATTCCTCAACCTTAAATTCATTACATGAAGTGCACGAATTTTAGTTACATTCAAATAAATAAATTTGGATGTAACTGAAATTTGTTCTGTCCTACTTTGCACATTAACAAGTTAAAAATAGGGTAATGTTAAGCAGCTTATTTCTGCTAATTGGACTGGATAATTGTTTTCAAATATTTTACTTACAATATGGAATAAAGAAAAAATACTACATGGATAAGCTTGTGCAGTAATCCAAAATCAAAAACAATAATGTCATAGCTGAGAAATTTTCCACCTGGATTCTTGCTACCATAAGTGGTTTCATTGAATGAGCAATGAAATATCTCAAAGAATCGCCATTTCATTAAAAATATCAATGCTTTGGTCAAAGTATTCTTGTAATTATAAAAGTCGTAACAAATATTCTCGTGGATCAAGTTTAACTTTTTTGTAAGTGACTGATTTACAGGACCAAAAAACATTAGTATTTTCAATAATTGAAAAAAGTGTGGAAATTTGAAATTCATTGATCCGAGGTCATGGGTTAAAGGATGGAGGAATCAAGTTCGAATCAATCGAGACGGGGACTGCTTTTTTGGCATGCACTTGCTGTGATAAATTCTAAATTGATGAGTTTTCATCAAAAGCGAAGATTAAAAGAAACAATTGAACCAAAAATAAAAGGTAAAAAATGATAATTATCAAGTCATTATTTGCCGTAGTAAGCAAACTCTGCTTGTTGCTTTGTAAACTAATAATTCAAACTCACTTCTCCAAATTGAAAAATGGAAACAAAGTGTTGAGCAAGCGCTAATGCTGCAACAATCAACTGACAGCTACCCAGTATAACAACCAGTACCTGTTATGTTAACAATAATTGTTTCGTACTCATAAAAACAATGTCTGCAATAACATTTTGTAACTGTAGAAAATTGTTCACTTACTTTATTTGTGATTGAATGGCCGCAGAAAATTGTATACTGATCGCTAATTTTGATCACAATCATTTGGTACCAGTATTATCGAAATTGTCTAATATACTTGAAAGATATAGAGCATTAATGCAAAACTGATAACAAATCACTGCCTTACATTTCAGTAATTATCTGATGGTCAAATATTCTGAGCAGGTGACTGCTTTTGCTACTGATGGCCATTCAAAGAAGAGAATGGGATTTGTTTGAAATATACGAATATTTCTTCATTATACTTTATGCAATAGTCCCATTCATGTAATATTATAAATAATAATGATGATAATGAGTAGATTACTGATCTTCTTGAAAACTGTAAAGCGGAAGAGTAGAAGTTAAAATACTCATTTATTTTTGCTTTGCTACACTGCTTTGTCTTTTAGGAATCAAAAAATCATTTTCTTGAGACTTTTATAAGTCGAAAGGGGTCATAAAAATAGATTAATGGAACAATCTGAGAATTATTTCTTCAAGCTGCTTTATCCTATACAAAGTGAATGATGAAGCCAGCTACTGATGACCAATAAAAAGAATGACCAGCTATTTGTTGCTTGTAAGATTGCTTAACACACAGGATTCTATTCACAGTGTCAGAAATTTTATCACAGACTTTCTTCAATTTTTTATTTCTTGCATGAATTAATTACTTTACTGCTAAAAACCCGAAACTTTTAAAAAATGTGCAAATTTCACAGTATTCAGTGTTTTAAAAATGGGTTTTTGAAAATACTGAGGCAATCTACGTAATTCAATAATTTTTAATAATCATCGCAGCTTGATTCCCGTTAAATTCAAAAGCTGTGCAAACCACGCACAAAAATGCAGGCAGCAATTAAAATAGCAATGTTTGAACCACGAATTATTTGCCAAACACGAGAAAGATTGCAAATGCTGCGTATAATTCAAGAATTTGTAGTTGCATTCCTGACTCAAATTTGAGTTTGTCATTTACATTTTTTTTCGCACTGACAAAAATTTTTTTGTAATTACGTGTTGTACTGTTATGAGGGGAAAATGCATGCCATAAAAAAGTTTGGACAAGCAACCATATCGGTTTCTCTACTGCGTTCGGTAAGACATTCATTTATGCTTATTATTTCAAAATAACAAAGTAGTGTAATGTCCAGCATTTATGATTATTTTGGTGCTTTTCTGAGTATTTATTCATCTGAGAAAAAAATGAACCTTAAGCAAGTGATTACCAGTTTAAAGTGTACTGAAAAGCCTTTGTAATATTTTAATGTAGCACGAATGAAATAAAGTCAACTGTGATTTCTTCAAGAAATTAGAAAAGAAAAATTGCGCTTATTCGAAATTATAGAACCTTACATCCCAAAATTCCATCGATGAAATATGCTTGCAAATTGTTTTTTTTGGTAATATTAAAAAGATCTTGACAGTTTTCCAGAAAAATAAAAATTTAAGAGGTAATTATCTCTGCTGTTGAATGAAGTTTGTGCCCAAATTCGAGTTCTGAAAAAATTTAAATGGCATAAATGCTCATTATATAAGCACATTTCAGTGCGAAGATTTAAAATGAGTTTTTGGGATTTTTTAATCATTATTTATGCAAAAATTTTAGCACAATATAAAAGTGATAAAGAGAAACAAAACGAGTGGAGAATAATCAAAGTAAATTTTGACAATATCAAAGTTAGACTGAATTTCAAACATGAAAGTGTCAGTACTGTCTTTCCAAATGAATACATAAAAGCATCACTGCGAAATCCTTCAAAAAAGATAAGTGAAACTTTGCTGCTTCAGTGATTTATTTGCGTGTAAATAATGATTTATGCATATGTGTCCAATTTGATGGACCATTAAGTGGTCTGAAAAACCAAATTCAATTAAATAATTGCAATTTTCAGGCCTAATAAAGAATAATTCTAGAATTTTAGACTATTTAGAACTGTTAAAAGGAAATGATGAGAATTTTCGCAGCTTAAAGTGCCTTCGGAATCAGACAAATTTCGAGGAGTTGAAAAATATTCTGAAATTAAATAAAATGATTCAATCTGAATATGACACAATTTAGTGAGGCAATAAATTCGATTACTAAATGGTAAGATTAAAGAGTGCAGAACTTTACAAACAATACAAGCAGTTAATTACTGGCTATATGAAAGCAGTGCATTTTCTTCACTTAGTTGATAAAGCTTTTTGAGTATTAGACTAGGACTACAAATTATTGCTTTCTGAATGAAAACAAGCTGACTGGATAAGATTGAATATGTCAAAAATTGGTCTCTTTTCTTTATTTCTGAAGCACTCTTTTAAAATTCTATTTTCAACACAGAGGTACTTTCAGTGAAAATATAAGTGTGAAATCAAATTTTACTGAAATCGCAGCCTGTAACAACTGAGATAGAAAAACTAAAGTGAGATACGGCGAGAAATCTTCTAATTTTGCATTTTATAAAAAATCAAAATAGTCTCAATAAATTTCAGTAGAGCGATTGAGCCGACTCGATAACGAACCTAACATCCCAATTGAGGCAGAATATTGAATTGCTTTACTGAAATAACAATCCATACCATTTTAAAGCATGTTTGCTAATCTTAAAAAATTTTCACGCGAAAGAGTTTATTATTTTACTTTTTGCCATTTATGTTGTATTTTAATCCGAATTAGAATAATTATGGTGAATCAAAAGCATTACCGACAGCAATTTGTATAGAAAACAAAATTTAGCAACTAACGGAAGTATCTAAGCCTAAGAAATTTGCATAATTTTTTTGTATTTTCGTTAGAAGTCTGTTTGTAGATTCACTTGTTTTTGATGCATTTATGAGTCTGAATTTACTGTAACAAACATCGTTAGTAATTAATGCAAGTGTGAGCTTAAGCATAAGGAGAAATTTGAAAGATTACACTTCAAGCAAGCAAACTTTCTCCAAAACATTTTATTCTCCTAGCGCCTTTTGCTTTCGTGTGATTTTGAATTTTTCATTAAAACTATCTTGCAAATTGCTTTGTAAAAGCTGTAATTAATTATAAGCAAAAGTGATGGAAGTGAAATCAACTGTTAACGGAATGCCTTCTTCATCTTTAGTATCTTCGAAAATTCTCAATGAAATAAATTTGACATTTGACTTTATTTGGGCTGGAAGTCTGTTTATCAATTAGTTTTAATACATTTGATAACTTAATTTAGAATTTGGTAGTCATTTTGCAAATATCTTTTTGACAAATTTAACTTTGCAAGATGGAGCAATTAATATTTTAACATAAATTGTTAATTGCTGCGATCGATTCAGTGATCTTTCTAAAAACTATCTTAAAACAAATTTTCTCCAGTAAGAAATTACCATATGAAGATCTGACATGCGTGAAATTAACTAAGCATTGCGATTTTTATGCTCAAATGACTAAGCTATACAAATATTCGACAAGAAAACCTTTAATGCGCTTCACTTTTGCAAAGAATATTCTTATTCAAAAAGCAGTAAAAAATGTGCGACTGCTTACCTGTACTTTCTCATTATTATTTTGAGCAAGTTTTCCACTTAAAGCCTGCTTAAAGACTAAATTTATGCCATTTATATCCCACGTTTATTACTATTTATCATTATTATTATTATTATTAATTTTCTTGTTATAATTATTTTTATTTTTATTATTAATGCTAGTTATTAGTATTATTGTCACTATTATTATCATGACTGCACCATTTCAAATTTTTTAAAATCTTTTTGAAATTTCTGTAGCTGTAACAAAAATACTAAAACACAGTTCTTCCCCACAAAAAAGCTGAAGCACTGTTTGTAATTGTTGCTATTATCATTAAAGAAAGTAGATTAGTGAAAGTAAAAGCATTAACTTTTGGCAAACAAACTAAACACTGAAAAATGCAAATTGAAACAAAAAATGGAATTCATTTTATTAAAAAGCACACGAAATGCTCAGAAGTGCGGATTAACGAATGAACCTGACGAAATTCTCAATGTGTAAACATTCTTATTTATTATAAGTAAGTTTGAAAGGCAATATTTTTTATGAAATTCAAGAAAATCAAGTACATTACAGAAACAAAATTTGTACAAATGCTCACTGGACCTCCGCAGAATTATTTTTACACTTACTGCTCTGATATTGTCGTAATCTTATATAGGCTAAATTTTCAAGTTACTTTTCATCGCAGAATGTTTAAATGTGAAAAGTTATCAAATTGAAATCTCGAGTGTCTCTTTCGTTGCATAAAAATTTCTTTTGGTCGGAAATGAAATACTTAAACTTAATCTTGAATTAATCAAAAACGGATAAGTATTTTGAAACAAATTGACGAATAATACTGCAAAAGTTATTATTTAGCAATAAAAATGGCCAGTTTAGCATTGAAAAAGTAAAATAACGTGTTGTACAACAAGTAAATAAATGAGCTTAATGCTTACGATTAACTTGTTAATTAGCAATGACTAAATATAACATTTACAAAATTTTTTCATCGTTACTATCAAAATTTATGTATGGCCAAGTTAGTACCAAAAATGCTCGATAACACAAAAACTGTTTCTTTCTGAAACGGAGAATGGAAAAACAAAAGTAGAATCAGTTAGGTATCGCTGAAATTAAGAAGGCTTCTTGCTTTTCACTCCCGCCTTTAAAATTAGTAATAACAAAATTAAAATTAATAGAGCCACTCATACAAGTATTATCGGCAATAAAAATGGAAGATGTTTCAGATGAAATGAAGTAATGAAAGAGTCGAAAAAGGTTTAAATTATGAAATAAATAGAATATTTTATCAGTTCTCTTCGACACCTTCGATCGCTTCCAAGTCAATTATTGTTGAGAGGTCAGTATGGGTCATTGGTTTCATCGATAACTCACAATAGCCATCTGAAATAGCATTCGGATGGCATTATTTCTGATAATAGTATCTATTTATTATTTATAAAAAATTCACTATGACAAACTACTTGAGATTCTTGCACATTTTTTGAATAAAAACGTAAAAATGAAACGGACCAGATGGTGGCAACGTCTCGCTGGAAACGAATTCCACATATGGACATTGATGACTATTCAAATCATTGATATGTTCGCAGAGATATGCAAATGACGGACGATCATTTGCATCATGCGCCCAGCACTGCATCATTACATCATACCTGAATTTAAGTTGTTTGTTACAGGTATTCAACATTACTGCAGAGTATTTAATCACGAGAATCAACAAGAGGGGTGAGATCCTTCCTCAATATTATCCGTCTAGTATTCAAAGTTTAAATAATATCCAAATTTGAGCATTCTGCATGTTGATTCCCTGAATTATAAATTCCACAAAACAACATGAAATACGAACACTTCGCTGCTACAAGATGAGGGTTTTTCCAACCGATGACCCTGTAGCAAATACTTGAGGATATCTTTGTCACTAACTGTTGGATATGGAAAACCTCCAAGAGTACAAATTTCCCATAACACTACTCCATATGCCTAAAAGTCACAGATTTTAATTCACACAGAATTATCATAATTTTTCAGCACAAAATTTCGTTTTTTGAGTGATAAAAACACCAAATTTTAACGAAATAATTTCAAAGGATGATTTTCAAGTTGCGAAGAAAAAATGAGGAGTTAAATTAATTTCAAGTTAGAAGAATTTTACTGACAAATATTACTTCTAGTAACTAACATTACAAATATCTATTGAACATTTTATGCTACGTAATCACTGATTTACTTTATACTACGATCCTTTATGCATTGATCTAACTTTATTGATAGCAGTTTATCCTTTGGAAAATCAGTCAGAATCACAACTGTGCGTACACAAGTGTAGTCAGAATTATTCCCTCTGTCTTTCAATAACTGTACGGTTTACTACAACATTTTTGACATCTTACAGTCAAAGTATTAATTCAATTCAGGTACGATTGCTAATCATTTCTGCCAAAATGTTTTCATTTTTGTTTCACAAGATTCTATAGGTCGTAAATTAGCAAAAATGTGCTTCACTTGGAGTAAATTTCCTTTGAAACTGAATATGAAAATGAATTTAAAGTAAGCATCAAGACTGACTAGCGAAGGTATTGGAGTGCAGCGAGCTTGCCACTGCGATATTTTGCTTAAAATTGTCAGTAAGATGTAAAATGTGATAGATAAGCGTTAAATTATGATCCTAAAAGCAATTAGGAAAGTAGAAAATGCGAGATGAGGCGAGTTTAAAAAGTTTGCTATCTTCTCAGTGCATTCATTCATTCATTATCAAATGTAATACTTAAAACTCTCTGCTAATACTCAAAAAAATGAAGTCTGTCGAATTAATTTACGACGAATCAAAGATTAAAAACATTAAAGAAAGACTTTCAAGCAAAAAAATGTGAGCATACTCAAAGCTTTGCTATACAATTTCATATGACAAGCATCAATAAACAATTTAAATTTAAAATTGCACTCTTTTCCTCAAGCGTTTTTTGTCCATTTCAAAAAATAAAGTGATGTTTCCACCTCTCAATCAGAGCGGAATTTCTACCACGTAAGTCTAATTTGTGATTTTGAACTTAGTAACCCCTTTTCACAGCTTTTCTTTGAGGCCAACATTTTTGACTTGCTTCTTTCTGCTGATTAAAACCAACAACAGAAATAGAAATTGGCAGATGATCAATTGAGCATCGATGACTTGAAATTGAATAAAAATTAAAACTTCAAACTTCGAACTATTCAACTACACATTGAATACTAATTTTAATAATAAAATTGGCGATTATTCGAGAACATACGAACCCAAACATCGCTTTTCGTAGAGTAAACATTTCGTTGGATGGCCTCAACTGACAGCCACCTAAGTGGTATCACTCCCTTGCTAGTTTTCACATAAACTCCGTGTCGAGAAAGACCAAAATCACTGATCTTTAGCTGATTTCCTCGGCCAACCAAAATGTTTCGAGCAGCCAAGTCTCTATGAACAATCCCCAACGATTCAATATGCGCCTTGAAATAAATCACTTGATCTCATCCCATTCATCAATCAATCTCTTGTTTATTCAAAATTATTTCTTCAAATCCCGAAAAATTTTTAAAAAATATTATTCAATAAGAGAAGAACCCTCTAGCCGTAATCTTAAGTCCTATAAAATTTATGCCGATTATTGATTTTAAACGAACAAACCAAGAATTTTTCTAATTAGCATAAAGAAGGTTTTTCGAGATTAAATTCCATTCGTTCTTTGCAATACTGTTTTACTGTTTGGAAAAATATTATTTAATTTACCATTTATTTTAATTTCGGCTTGACAAATACGGTTATTACAAAATTTCAAACATTATGAACTTTTACCATTCCATTGGCAACTTGTAAAGCAAAGTTTTGTAATTCGATTGGATCCATATGATATGAATCGTTATTATACGGCGAATGATCATCGTTATGAGACAAAAATGACGAATGTAATGACGGTGGTAATGAGGGACTAACTGGCATATCGCGGCTGTACATTGACGATTTGAAATTTACCATTACCGTATCGAACTTGAATTTTGTAAAAATAAGTCATAAGTCTTGATTTATTATTATTATTATTATTATTTAGTTTACAAATTTACTGTTTACATCACTATACCAAATAAATATTTTTCATTTTTTAGTTTTTGTTTGAAAAATGTTGGCATTTGCCAAACAATGAATTATATAATACAAGCAATTCATAAACGCAATAAAAATTTTGTTTTTTAATTGACCAAATTTATAAGATATGATTTCGCGCAAAAATATGATGCCTGTGAAAGTTATGAAAGTTAAAAATGTTCTGTACTTTAATAAATTAAAGTGAACTTTGCAATCAAGTAGTTCATAATTTAGTCATATACTTTAAATATGAGCTTGAAAGCTTTGAAAGCTATCAGAGTTTCGTTTTTACATTTGCTATAAGTTCACCTGTTTTCTGAGATTCTGGAGGTAATGTTTCAGATCCCCAAAAGGAACGTATTCCATGATCATGCACTGATGATTTGGTTCTGTACAACAACCATACATCGCAACAATATTTGGATGTCGCCCAACCTGAAACTTGACTTGTTTCTAAATTTGAGCAATTTGGATAACAAAGGATGAAAATGAGTTGTGAGTAAGGATGAAATTCCAAAAAAAGCATTTTAAGAATCAAGTATTGAAATCATGTAAACTTATATATATGAAAACGCAACCTGTTTCATGATATCCATTTCATCAAGAAATTCACGTCTTTCATCTTCATCAGCATTTGTCTTCAGCTGCTTAACAGCAACTGTTGTTGGACCGGTATATCCTTCAACACCGTATGCAGTACCCATACATACTGTACCAAAAGCACCTAAAGAAAGCGACTTTTTAATGTTCTGCACATATAGTCTTTCGTTGCTGAAAACCGGAGCTACCATAATATAATAGTACCAGTTTCTAGACAAGAAAATTTTTCAAAAATTAGAATAAGTCGTAATGAAGTTGAGGTAATTTAATTATAGAATTTGAGTTAAAAAATATAAAAATTGTTGGAATGCAGTTTAGAAAGAATATAGCTATTTTAATATATATATATATATATATATTCAATCACTTCAATGAAATAACCTTGTCCAATAATACCACCAACTTGAATCTGACTGAATGGTATTTCATATTCGATTTGCGATGCCGAATTGGTAGTGCGACGATAAAGAATGTTTGTTTCGAGCATAGAATGACTAAAAAAAGTGATTGAGTTTCTTGTCTTACTGCCAAAATGGGCAAATATGATGCAAAAAAAAGATGAATTCACAAATTTTTTTTTCGGAGATTTATAAATTGTTTCCAAAAATTTTGCGTCTCGATACGCCAAATTTTTACGATAATGTTGTGCAGGCAGGCTTATGATTTACAAAAGTTGATTAGTAAACATGACATGTACTTATCATTTAACTAATGCTTCCTAATAAAAATCTGTTATTCGGTTTTTTATCGTACTATTAAAACTAATAAACTAAACAAAGGTCAAATTTGATAAGAACCCATCGGATTATTATTTCATATTTTTGCATTTACGATTTTTTTAATAAACTCAAGTTATTATTAAACTGAATTAAATAACAAAAAACAAGAGCCGAATTCAAATAATTTTGAATTCTTATAAGTACAAAAATTAAAATATAATAGAATTAAGTGAATTTACCTAGAATGTGCCATTGCCCAAGGAATGATAGACGACTTTTCAATCTGAGATTTGCCATTTTTGTAAAATTTGCGCACCAGAAAATATGCAATGAAACAAGCCATGGTTATTGCAGTGATAATTGCACCAACCATAGTTACAACAGTCAGTGGTGGGTACAAAGGTTTTTCAAGCACCTCTCGAATGTTAGGTCTTTCTTCTTCAAGAATTCCCAAGACAGTTGAATTGTAATTCTCTCCTCGGCTGGATATTTTTATTATACTGTCTTTATTGGTTCCAATACCATGATTGTCACCTATCATTATTTATTGTTTTATTATTATTATTATTATTATTATTTATTGTTATTATTATCGTAACTTTCATTATGATTGTTTTTATCATTATTATTGGTGCTATTATTGGAATTTAATCTATAGAGTAATTTTAATTTCTAAAAACAATTAATCATTGTTAGATTATATCAAAAACTCATTAATGCATGTGTATAAATGTGAAAAATTCCACAAATTCCTGTCAGAATTTGATTAAAGGCAGGTAAAATGAAGTAACAGACCAGTTGAATGTGTAGTTACTGAATTTTCTTTATTTGATCTTTGTTGATCTGTGAAGAAAGAAATAGTGATATCATCGCTGTGACATAACTGGTCATTCATAGCAAAAATTGTCAATCTGTATTCTTCATTAGGTATCAAATCTACAGGAAGTACAGTAAAAAGAGATGTCACGTTCTGCAATCAGGAATAATTTACGATTATGTATGCAGTTAATAAGTAAAAAAAAAGTAATAGCAAATAAATTAAAAGAAGAAACAAACATTTTAAAATTAAGCAGTCAATCAGATTAAAATTCAAAACCAAAGCTTTATTTGTTATTTTATAAAGTGCCATCTAAGTGACTCACTTCTTCAGCATAAACAACATGTGATGGCATGTCAACAATACGGTATTTAAAAGCGTTTGGGTTGGCAAAGCCTATATGATTACGATGAAGCCTGAAATTACTTGCCTCTTGTAAATAATCAAATAAATGCGCAAGTTGAAATAAAGAAATTAAAAAACCTTTCACTGAGATCAAATCGAAACTGATGAGAATGACCGTTCACGGATGGATATGTCCAGTTAACAGAAGCTTTAATCCTACCATTTTCCTGGTAACTCCTAATCAGCACATTCTCTGCTACCGGAACAGTGTCTTGGCCTAAAATTGAAACTTTCTAGCATCCAATTCCTTTTTCCTGTCGAAAGTTGTGAATCAAGAAAACTTTACTGTAAGTTACAGTAATGTTGAGGTTGTTTCCACATAAATTCTTTCATCATAATAATATTGAGATCAGTAAATGTCAAACAATTATCGGTATTTGCATGCATCATGCAAAGCAATTTTCATGGTGATTTTTCATTTTCAAAAATAGTTTTTATGCTTCCAATCTCTATGTACTACCTCTAACTTTGGCTTCATTACTAGAAATTAAGCATTTAGTATTAGAAAACAATAAACAAAATGACAACTTACTGGCACAGCTGCAGTATCCATCAATACACGTGGGTACGGTGTACTGAATGTCAACTGCATATGCTGGGTCTCCATAGGGATACGGTTTTGAATGCATATGTACAAGGTATGAGCAGTCATGTTGAATTTCTAACGGTTGTGAATCAGTGGTCATCGCTGGAATAATATGCGACCGTTCCATCTATAAATTAAGATTTGGAGAAAATTTTGTAATTATCTTTAGTCTATATTTAGTTTCATTATATTTTTAACCACTGTTAATCCCTGCTGGGTTTGAACTTTTTGAAGTAACGAATCTGAATTTTGAATACTTTATTATGATCTAAATTTGGTAACTCATTCGTATTATTCTGACGAGAAAGAAATTCATGTAAAAATAATATAAACAGGCGTACGTGGAAAGAATGATTATTGCCAGAAAATGAATGTGCTCATTCCTCAGAAAATTTGTTCAAAATAGTCTAAACAGGTAACCTTTGAACCGATGAAATTACCATAAATATTGTTTTTTACAAAAATTTTAGCTTAAAATTTAATCTGTTTACTAACGCAAGAAAATGACGCAAAGATTTAAGATTAAGCGAAGAAAAAAAATATTAGCCATACTCATGTGGTCCACTCCGCTCTCAACTCCAATGCATTAACTAGTAATAATCTTCGATAAATTACTTAAATTCGAAAAACAGCTTTCTAGTGACCTTCCTGAATAATCATGAGAACAGTGTCTAAAGAATTTCCTTTTCCACTCTATACATTTCATAGGAACTTGAGAAGACGTAAACAGTGTAAGGAAGGATTTTCTAAGCTTGATTTCAGTTTTGCATTCAGTTTTCATTCTCATTGAAACGACCTATGCAAGAAGTTTTCTTTTCATTTTTTAAAATTCATGAATTTTAAACATTGTCTTCAAATCGCACTTCAGTCGCATAGACATGTCAACTTTCTGAGTGATTCTATCATTCTGTTAATAATTGACTACTTACCGGTCCAATATCGTAAGTATAGTATCCAGGAAAATCATGTTCACACCACTCTTCAGTGGCTGTTACCCGTAAGTAAAATCCAGCACGCTCATTATCTTCAACACATTAAATTTTTCTCAAATGCATTCAAAAAATGTATTGAATATATTAAAAGAATTCAACGAAAAATACAGTTCAACTGCAAGTATTGTTGAGCTACAAGCCGGAAATACGTTATTTCTCAAAGTATTTTGTTTCGTGTATATAACATAAATGACATTATGGATACTTGCATTACATAACTCTGTCTATTCTCCAGATGTTAGATATCACATCAAAATTTGATGAATATTTACAAGATATTATGATTAATGGAATTTTTCCAGATGTTTTATAACTTTATTAGCATAGTTCTACCGAACGAAAGTCATCTTACAAACTATGTACTTCAATATTAGTATGTCTATTTTAGCTATATAGGCCAAATAAAACAGAATTTAAACGAGTTTTTGATAAGTATGTGTGTTAAAGGGTAATAAGAACCAAAAATTTTATTTTTAACTGGCAGAGTAAACTTTTTTCAATTCAAATTTAAAAATTTTAAAACAAATATTTGCGCGACAAAACAAATAAACATATGCAACAAACCAGGCTCACAATCCCAACTAACAGTTGATTCCAAAAATTTAACATCCCCAATAACTGCCGTTGTTGTGATACTAATATTGTACGGTGGTGGAGGATATCCTACAAAAATTAATGCATAATCAAATCATTTACTTAATCAGATTGTTTTCGCCAAGCAAAATCTTAATTCAAAAAATTATTGTAATCAGTAATTTTAAAAGTGATATTAAAACAATAATCAGACTAAGGAACGATGAAATTTGATAATTACAAATAGCAATCAGATAAATTATGGTTTCTAATTTGATAAAATGATAAGAAATCAGTGATGGCGGTGGCGTATAGGGTAACAGTAGTACAGACTAAAGAGAGTGAATGAATGAATGAGTAATGATAGATGAATGAATGAATGAATGAATGAAGGAATTAATGAATAAATGATTGAATGAATGAATGAATAAATAAATAAATAATGGTACTTTTTGAAATGAAAGAATTGCCAGCGAATCTTCCAGAAGAACACTTTTTCAAGCAATTTTCATAGGCAACATTGTCCGCTAAATGATCACAGAGTTGCTTGCAGTTATCGCCGACGGATGTGACAGTGCCATAAATAGTGGCGAGGATCATGAAGGGAAGTAGTAAGCGATTCACAGCGAATTGTTTGGATGCAAAATGTAGCATAAAGAGCATGTTGTCGTCGGTGAACAGATAAGTAAACTCTCAGCAGAGCTGTGGACATCTCCACCGGCAGATGCCGGCGGTCTTTCCATCCATCCCCACACGCAAATAAGTAAATAAGTAAGTAGGTAAGTAGGTAAGAAAATAGGTAGACACGTAAGTAAGTCCTCTCTGTTCTCGTCAGTAATGCTACAACTTAATTCCCTCTCATGAAAATTCTGCAAACTGATCCATAATTTGCCATTGAAGTGCCAATTTTCGACTTTTTGAGATCTTTCCTTCTTCAAATTTAAATATTTTCACGGGCATAATTAACCATTTTACAACTTATTTAAAAATAATGTTTTATCAAGAAGATATGAGCCATTTATTCAATACACATTCATATCGTGGAAATATTGGAATCTGCAAATGCAGACACGCAATGCTGGGTTTGGTGAGTAGTGACTGACAACGAATCTATGGCCTAAAATGGCCAAAAAATGACATTGGGGGACTGAAATAATTCAGTATTAGTACTTTCCAAATGAAAAATTTTCCGAGTTCCTGTGATAAGCTGCTTTTTTCGGTATTATTAGATAGTTTATATTTGCAAGTCACTTTATGTCTCTTTACTGAAAAAATGGTTCTAAATTAATTATTTAAAACAGTCATATTACCATAATATATATGTAGAAAAAATTTGTGCAACAAAAATTGTTAGTCCGCAGTGGTGACTTATGAGCTAATTATAAACAAGCATGTAAACAGAAAACATACGAAAGCATTAATTTGCTGACCAATAAAAATAAGTGAATAAATTAAGCGAGCACGAGTGCATACACGCTAATCGACATGTAAGTACTAAGGAATGTACGTGTAAACACGCGTAGATGCATCTATCTGTTAACGTAACTCAAGAAATAATTTATAATCAGAAGAAATGTAAATAATACAAAGTGCGGGAAGAAATGGTACTAGAAAGAAGTAGCGTCTGCTTGGCAGCTGCCAAAATTATTGAAATTTCTTTAGCTTCTTCAACTCTCGAGAAAACCATCGTAAAGTGTGATAGAAGTAAAAGTAACAGCAATATTCTCACTTCGCAGCTGTCCAGATAGAAAGATCGTTTTCCAGCTAATATCCTTCCATAGCTCATCCAACTTCTGCTTTTCTACACTAATATCCTTGTTAACATTCGCACAGATAATGATCACATCCAATCTCTGCCCAATCATCTTGTGCATAATCATCATTTAACAAAGATATCATATTTAATTATATACCAACGCTCTGTCTTTAAATGATGCTAATGATCTTCCTTACCATAATGCATCTATTAATTTTGCACTGAAGCAAAAAAATGATTACAACAGTATTGATAATGATTATTATCACTGTTAGTCCATTAGTCTGAATAGTGCGGTCAATATTACAATATTAGTAATTATGATTGAATGTCAAACAGTCAGTGACTTGAAGTAAATAGTTTTAAGCGTTGAAAAATAGTGTGGGCAAAAAGATCTGTTTACTAAATAATTCAATTTGCTTAAATATCTGTAAAACTTGTCAGTGTGCTGTTCTTGAGCAGAACTTATTTATAGGAATTAAGATTAAATTATTTTTTCAACTTCGAGTTAAAAACTTATCATTAGTTGCCTGGAATATCTTTACCCTACTTAACAAATCAATAAAGGCACTGAGATCAGACTAGCAGTTAAGCGTAAAGAAAGTACTGACGCTCTAATTTTTGAGTCTTGGGTAGCTGTGCTTTAACAATCCGACCATTTGTCTACTCCTTCTCTAACTGTGATTTGTGCAATTTTTCCAGCAAAATCATCGCATTTTATTTCAAGTAATGCAAGTAGCACTTTTGATAAGTTTTAATTCGTATGACTTACTTTACTGGTACTGTACGAAATTTGAAATCTAGCGATGCCAGCAAAATACCTTCACTAACGCTAGCCGAGTAAAATATAGAGAAAAAAAATTGATGATAGTTGTCAACTTCAAAATAACAGGCAGAGTCCATGGCATTATTTTCAATTTCTACTAAGGAGAAAACTAGAAAAGTGACCACACCGATGACAGCGTTTACAGTTTTATCCATCAAGTTCTGCGTTTTATTAACGTTCAAAAATTGCTACCAGAATGGCGGAGTTTAAGAAGTAAGCCCATCATTTTTATGCGCGAACACAACAAATATCCGTTTCACTTTAATGTAGCCAAAAAATGTATTGTCTAAATTGCCAATTAATTTTGAAATTGATATTTGACTCTTTTGAAGCTAGATTTCCCAACATTTATAATGAAGATTTGTGGTTATTTTTCGAAAATGCAGAAAATTGCTGTTTGCAGATGATTAAACGAAATACCAAATATCTGTTTGGAAGTGAAAGAAGTAATAACAAACTTATGACATACGAAAATATTGTAACAATTAAAAGTCAGGCACAGCAACCTGGTTTCTACACATAAAGTTCAGTGTGATGCATTTGTGAGCAGTATTCCAGTGATAAATTTTTATCTTTTTATCTTGAAACAATTAGTAAAAGCTGAAACAACATACAAGTTGAAAATAATTTCAAGATAATCTTTGCTCTGAAGCACCGACCTCACAACTTGACCTTTTCAAGACGCAAATATTTTAACACAAAGTTTGTAACTTTATCTATGTGATCAATAGCATTTCTCCGAATTCTCGCATACGAAATCAAATGATAGTAAGCAAATGATCTTGCCCATTCGCAAGGCAAGTACGAATGAATTTTCGCATATACACTACAAACAAGCAGGTTGAAGCTTATAAATACAAATATCTCGTACAATTCTCCTTCCTTCTTCAATTCTCACCACCACTTACAAGAAAATACCTTGATATGCAGATAGAATGTCCGGCTTATAATGACAGGGAACATCACTTGAGACTAATGTTTTGCATTAAGCACCTCTATTATAGCATAATTACTATATTCTACTTTATGGACTGCCCGTATATGACCAGTGGCAGCTTAATTACTTTCACTAATAAGTGGTGTAGTTTTTGTTGAAAATAGAACTGGTGTTTTTATGCGTGTAATTTAACTCTCCATAATTATTGATTAAGGTGGAAAGACATTAATCGACGTAATGAATCAGGCAGTCTTGACTGAATCTCATTTACCATGTTATTATTTTAATGCTTTTATTAATCTACACGTTATCATAAAAAGATTTGATATTCCCTCCTCGTTTTGATTTAATTCATGAATTGTCATTTTTACATCGAAATATCAGCAAATATTCACCTTTTTAATTTCTTGGCTAAATAATGGAAGATGATCTTATTTTATAGCTTGGTGATAAAGAGTAGCTGAGGCAATTGAAAAAATGTCAGAATTTTTGGACAACCAAGCAGAAGAGTCAGAAAATTCTGGCCTGACAACTGATACTTCCATTGACGAAGAAGATTTAGGACCTCGAGCTAAACGTCAGCGGAAGCAAAAAAAGGAGAAAAGAAAAAAAAGGCGAATTAGAAGGTTAACTCTGACTTTTAAGAATAATTTTACCATTTCTGCTTTCAAGTTAGTTTTCATGAATTTTTTATCCCATTTAAAGCAGCATTTACATCCTTATGGTGTCTATTCACCGTAATAAGTTATGCAATGCCAGTGATGAGGAAGACGAGGAAGATGATGATGTAGAGGATGATGAAGCTAAAATTCAAAAAGAAATGGCTGGTTTTGTAGTTGATGAAGACGAAGCTGATGAAGATGAGGGTGATGAAAATGAGGTTATAATAATTTCCCTTTAATATAATTTTACTCCTTTCCACTATCTAAATTTATTTTTGGTTTTTGATAAATTTTTGAGTATCCATGGGATCATTTTAATTTACTAGTTTTATGTGAAATAAGAGAATTTTCTTTTCATCTAGTTCAAAAAGAAGCATTTCTCTCTATATTGCGTTAATTCGGTACTTGATCTATTATTTCATCTTTTAGGACGATGATCGAAGTGACATAGAAAAAGATGGGGATCTCGAGCTAGATGATGAAGATTTGGATTTATTAAATGACAATTTAGACATACAGCAACGTCCAGCTGGTGGTCGTGTGGTAATTGAAAGTGATGAGGAGGAGGATCAGGACTTGAACAAAAATAGTCTTTATGATAGAGTATGCACTCTAATATCTCTGTTTTTATTTACAATCTTTGGCAAGAATGTTAGTGAAATGATTTTCAACTTTCAATAACTTTCTTGTATTTGTGAAATAGAAACAATAAATTCCATAGATGTAGTTTTATTTTAATTCTAAGATTATAAATTTTATTTTTTCGAGGTTGGTGATGGTGATCAACGCAGTGATAACAGAGATGAAGAACGGCGCGATTTTGATGGTGATATGGGTTCGGGTTCTGAAAGCGAACATTCTGGTATTTTTAAAGCCAGTTGTTGAAAGTGTTTTGTTCAAAAGTTTTGTAATTTTTTTTTGCGCTCTTTTTCTTACATTTTTTTTCGTGCAGAAGATGACTTTATTGTTACTGATGATGGGCAGCAAACACGTCATCGACAGCGTCGTTATCGTTTAGCAGATGTACCAGAACAAGCCATTGATGATGCAAGAGAAATCTTTGGAGTCGACGATTTTAATTTCGCGGAGTTTTACGATGAAGATGCAGAGGTTTATGTTTTTTCCCATCAATTGACTAGGTATGCATGCCAGAAAGGATTTACTCCTATAGTTTTCATGTTTTTATCAATTTAATTGAATGGGTTTAGCCAGGGGAAGAAGAGGATGACTACCCAGAAGATGAAGAACAGGAAATAGAAGGTGCTGATGTTTCGCGGTCACGTAAGTTAAAACTGAAAGAGAAAAAAGCTACATTGATGGATACAATAGAACCTGCTGAGCTTGAAGAAAAATTGTTGTCTCCTACCGATAAACGTATACAATTAGATGATCGACCAGAGCGTTTTCAAGTAATATCGGTTACGTTGTTCTTTCATGCCATTAAGTAGGAAGGTTTAAAGCATTATTTGTTATTGCAGCTTCGTAGAGTCCCAGTAAGTGAAGCCGATGAGCAGGAGCTTGAATTTGAAGCGAAATGGATTTACCAGTATGCGTTTGACAACGCAACTTTGTCGGAACAGGTATTTTGATTTATGAAACATCTCTTCTTAATCAAAACTTTCATAATAACTGTAAGTAGTTTGAAATAGAGGGTTGTCAATTCATCCAGGAATTTTTTGATTTTTTCTAGTTTTTACTGATCTTATGCAGATAAGTTTGTCTTTAGGAAGATACTTGTCTCACTGTATTGTCAAACCCAGATCTTCGTATTGACGAACGAACGAAAGTAGCTATCGAAGCCCCTGATAAAATCAAAGAGGCCTTGAAATTCATTCGCAATCAATTATTTGAAGTGCGTAATTTACTTATTTTCGACATCTTATTTGCTAACACATTTTATAATATTATTTTTTAAGACTTAAATACTGGTTGCAGGTGCCGTTCATAGCATTCTACCGTAAAGAATATGTGGAATCGTGTTTAGTAATTAATGATTTATGGAAAGTATATCAGTGGGATGAAAAGGTTCGTTGTCTTGTTTAAGTAATTAGTTATGTTCCTCAAAAAGTTGTTGTTTTTTTCAGTGGTGTCATCTGCAGCAAAGAAAAAGACGACTCTTAGAGTTAATGAAACGTATGTTAAATTATCAGATGGAAAATGATAATGCAGCTGGAATGCGTATTGTCACAGAGCAGGATATGAATGAGTAATGGATTAATCTTTCATTTAGTTGATTTCAATATTATAAAGATGGTTTCATGTAAATATATCAAATGGCTCAAATCATTGAAGAGTGCATGGTGTACAAACAGTCGAAGGTTTAATGGATGTTTCGACAAAATTCCAGTTGTATTACGGTCCTGAAGTACCCAAAATGATAGATTGGGAAAAAATCCAGAATTTAAGTGAAGATGATCCGGAACGCGAAGCTGCGGAAATGCGTTTTCGTGCTGCCACAAGAACTGATAGGTATATGGTATGTTGTTTTATGATTTTTAAAGAATAAATGTAAATATTTATGGTTTCTTTCGCGAAGTGGTCTTCACATAGATGCTGTTATTGATTCTTATCGTCTATTACTAATATTGTCTTTAGTTGTGTATTCAAAATGGACTAACTGGTTTGGCTTCACGTTTCGGTTTGACTCCACTGCAGTTTGCGGAAAATTTGGACTGGAGGCGGCATGATATTGTGCAAGATGATGAAGAACCATTAAAAGCTGCTGAACAATATGTTTGTCAAAGTTTTCCCACTCCAGAAGCAGTTTTGACTGGTGCTATACATGTTGTTGCAAAGCAGCTAAGTAGAGAACCAAAAGTTCGTGAGCTGCTAAGATCGCGCTATAGGTTGCGATTGAAGATTTCAGTTCATCCCACAAAAAAAGGAAGAGAGGAAATTGATGAGAATCACAAATTGTGGCCTAGAAGGTAAGGATTGATTACATTATTTAACTTTATAAGTGTTTGATTACATTGGTTCAATCAGAATTACCAATTAAGATGTTGGGAGTGAAACGTAGCTTATTGTTTAGGTACATACGTGACAAACCTGTGATGAATTTACGGCATGATGAATACTTGTGGTATGTTCAAGTAAGTTGTTTTATTCTTGTTTAGTACTTGACTTTTTCATAGTTTTAACCGAGTCAGCAATGTTTTGTATATGTTAGATCAGAATATCACAGACGGTTATTCCTCATTTCTTTATTGGTGTTTCTGGCTCTGAATCGCATTCTGGTAATTTCGCTGCATTCTCCAGCGTTCAGTTTCGCTGTTGACCTTCGCTACTTCTTTCTCGTCGAATCCTGATCAAAATAAGATCCTTTCGAGCGTTCCCTTGAGCACTATCGATTGGATATATGCCTTGACGTGACCGTATACATAGATTCCTTCCACGTCCCATTCCAAGTAATCACATGCGGAATTATTTTCGTCCTGCATTCAATCTTTGCCCCCAGTTTATTAGCCAGTAAATCATACGTTTGCTTCTTTTCGGTCTCGACTGCTCAACTGTCCTGGCCATTGTGTCGTTTAGAATAGTCGTGAACATTTTCTGGCATTGCGTTTCTAGATGGTCCACCATCTTCATACGTTCCAATGTCGATACAAACTATTCTCAGCTCCAAACACATTTTTATCTTGGAGGTGACATTATCGCGTTTCATCTTATGGGGTAATGTTTACGTACCGTAACTTTATTGATGAATTTTCGGCTCGCTCATTGCTGCGCATTTTGTATAACCTTGCATGACAAATTTTCAATTTTGCTATACGGAGTGCTTTCTGAGCTGCTAATATTTTTTTGATAGTTGGATTTCCTACCTCCAAAATTAGTTGTATTTAGTCTGAAAATCTGAAGGTAAGATACAATAGCTGTTAAGTGCTTTTTCTGAGTCTTTTCGTGCTTCAAAACTGCCGCTCTTCCGGTAAATAGGGGGGCACTTTCTACAAGTACATTGTGAAGTTGCAGAAGCTTAAGCTCACTTCATTGTTCAGCGCAGTGAAGCCCACGTCCTAGTTCGTCTCTTGGCAGGTACAGTCTCTCCAAACATGCAGTTGAATGTGAATTCCGTACTTAGTTTGTAACTGGCTGATATTATAGTCAATTGCTTGAAAGTCCTCCGGTTTCAGTTTGAGCATCCCAGTATAATAGTTTATAAATCCTATGGCGTGCTCATTTACTTTCATTTTGCTTTTCATCTCTTACACTAGTTTATTAGCGAGTATGCCACACTTTCGCTTTTTCTTGGTCTCAGTTGTAGTCAATCCAGTGATGTCAATCTCTATTAGGACTACTTCATATCGCTTTTTATCGCATATCATATTATCTGGTCTATATATCGACCAAGTTGCCGAGCTGTTGAGCAGCCAACTAGTCGAATCGCATCACAAAGCAGGAAATAAGGATAAACGCAAAAAAACCGAGTCTGGAAATATAAATTAAAACAAATGAGAAACAGGTGAGATTGTTGAAAAAAGCTCGGTAAAAAACACTCGATCAGTGCACCGAAACCAGCAGAATTGCGTACCCGGCAAGTACAACGAAAGTGCTGAAATACGATCCAACGCAAGAATCAGTAATACAGAATGACCGCCTTTTTTATGTCTTTATATGCGCACCTTTTTTATGTCTCTATATAATTATCTGTGTATATACGTCAAAAGGTTTTTGTTTGGAAAAAAATATTTGACACCATTTTCTAATAAAAGATCATTTTCATCTTCAGGCTCGTAATGCTGGGTTATTGGTTTTAAAGTTGCATTGTGACACAGAAGAAGATGTGAGATTTAAAAAAACGCTACTTCAAGACTTTCTTTCGGATCAGCCATATCACCGGTATAATTCTTTCAATTTATATCTTTCATAAAAATTTACTGTGGCGAAAGATTTTCAGAGATGAATATTCCCGTGTTGTTGATTTATGGAATAGAGTCAGAGAAGAAGCTTTGACAGTTTGTGTCAATAATTTCCTTTTACCAGTTTTCGAACGCGAAGCTCACGAAAGGCTTTTGCAGGAATCAAAAGATTATGTAATTAAAGTAAGCTGTCCAGTTTTAGTCATTACAACTTTTCAATCAAGATGTGTTTATATGCTTACACAGCAACGATTTCAGCAAAGCACGCAAAATCTCTATGATCGAATCAAAACTGCGGCTTATCTTAGTATGCATGAAGGCGATGATGACTTTGAGAATGGATTTGGTGGAGGGATGAAAGTTTTGAGTATTGCATATCCCGAAGAAAGGTAATATTATTTCTTTTTTTCCGAAGAAAATATTTTTTCTCACAGTATGTATTATACGTATTCGGAAGTAGACAAGATAAATATGTTTTGACAAGATAAATATGTTTTGGATCAAGATAAATATGTTTTGTTCTGAAGGTATGATTTTTAGAGATCAGGCATCTTTCTGTGCTCTCATCGACCATGATGGTCAAGTAATAGATCATCTGCGATTAGTCCACATCACGAAGAGTATCAATTCAAAAAAGCCCGGAGACGCAAATTTGAAGGTTAGTGGATTTGATTTAATAAAAGCTAGGGTTATCATGAAATATGCAGGACGTAATTTTCATTATAATCAATTGTATTAACATGATATTTAATTATCCAGAATTATTACTTTCCTAACATTTTAATCACTTTTTCAGTACCTGCTTTCTTTTGTCTTCTTCAGCGTGAGAGCATGAATTATTTGCGCAAATTTATTGAGAAGCGTCGCCCTCATGTAATCACAATATGTGGTGAAAACATGGATGCTCATTATCTTCGCCGAGATATTGAATCATTGCTACACGAAATTGCTGGAGCTGCACAAGAAGTTGCAGTCGAAATTGTTGATAATGAAGCAGCTAAAATTTACATGTACAGTAAACAAGCTTCTGTAAGTGTTTGTAATTAATTTAGGTTTTTGTTGGTCAAGTTATGTTTGATTTGATGTTTTGATGTCATCTTTAAAAGGTGCTATGTACATTTTGATGCTTAAACTAAACTCATTAAAAGTGTCCATGTCCGTTCATCAGTCTTATTTCTGAATACTTTTTCTGGTTTTCTCTCAAAGAACTAATTTTTTTCAACTTTTAATGTTGACATTCCGAGTTTTTAGATTGAGTTTCCTGACTATCCTCCATTGTTGAGGCAAGCAGTTTCAGTAGGGCGCTTGCTGTTGGACCCATTGATCGAGTACGCTCACTTGTGTAATACAGACAACGATATTCTTTGTGTTTCATACCACCCCTTACAAAGTGAAGTCAACAAGGCAGTTTTATTTCATTCTTGTTCATTGATAATTGAAGGATAAGCATCAGTTTTGTCTACTTCCGCTCGGAATTCCTTGCTTCCAAGTAGTTAATTTTAAAGATTTTAATGATGTTAGCATTAATTTGATCATGTTATAGGAGGAATTGTTATTTGCACTATCACTGGAATTTATAAACAGAGTAAATGAAGTCGGTGTAGATGTAAATCGATGTTTGGAGTACCCTCATACTTCATATTTATTGCAATTCGTTTGTGGTTTGGGTCCGAGGAAGGCTGCATATTTATTGAAAATATTGAAGCAGAATGATAATCTTTTAGAAAGCCGAACCAAATTAGTTACGCTATGTCGCATGGGGCCAAAAGTAAGTGTTTATTAGAAATTAACTTTAGCATAAGAAGACTTTTATATTTTAGTATTTTTTTTTATTGTTATGTCGAATTGTTCATTATTTTATCAAATTCAGGTATTTATGAATTCTGCTGGTTTTATAAAGATTGATACGACCAAGGTATCTGAAAGAACGGATGCTTATGTTGAGGTAATTATAAAGCCTACACTTCAGGTCAAGTGTCGTATGTGAGAATCATAGATCACAATAAATTTGGTACTCAAATTTGTTATCAAATTGATGGTTGCGGGATGATGTCTTGTCATAATAATATGATGCAGGTACTAGATGGGTCTCGCGTTCATCCTGAAACGTATGAATGGGCTCGGAAGATGGCAGTTGATGCCTTGGAAATTGATGATGCTGCTGATCCTACTAGTGCTTTGGAAGAAATTTTGCAAAATCCTGACAAACTTAAGGTCGGTTGTTTTTTTAAAATTTCAACTTGGTTTGATTGTTGAATAATTTGCATATTTTTCCGATAAACAAATCGCAGTTCTCATTAGATTTAGTTAAATTTTTTATTTCTTAATCATAGGATCTTGATTTGGATGCTTTTGCTGAAGAACTCGCACGACAAGGTTTCGGTAATAAAAGTATTACGTTGTATGATATTCGTGCAGAATTGAATCATCGATACAAAGATCTCCGGATCCCTTACGAAAGTTCTTCGGCTGAAAGAATTTTCACTATGTTGACCAAAGAAACTTCTGACTCCATAGGTTGATTAAAAATCATTTCTTTTAAGGTACAGGTTGAAGGGAGTTTAAATTTCTTTGTATTTCTACTTTGAAAAATATATGTGTCAAGTTCTAAAGTTAAAGAATAACTAGTTATTAAGTATTTATGATTTCAGAAACTGCTACTATTACAAATGATCATTTTCAGGAAAATTGGTGATGGGTCGGGTGATGCATATAGTTTATCGGAAACCAAGAGATCCAGAAGAACGAGAACGAGTACCGCCTATAAGAGATGAGCGGACGGGTCAGTGGAAGTGCCAATATTGCTATAAACCTGATTTTAGCAATACCAACGAGGTTTGTGAGCTATCTCTTTCGGTTTTTTTTTTCTTTGAACAAAAATTTTTTGGGTTTATTTTCTATTTTTAGGGATCCCAAGTTCTTATGTGTAAAAATTGAAGGTTTGGCAGCATATTGATTCCTGCCCTGGGCAACCAATAGGTGTCAAAGTGCGGTTTGACAACGGTATAACTGGATTTATTCCTAATAAGTATATCTCGGATCGGCCTGATTCATTTGTAGATCCAAGCGAAAGAGTTCGAGTAAGCTTCCTTATTACTCACTATTTTTGTTAACCAACAGATTTCAATTTCAAACATGTTTAGAAAGTATCTTTTTCATTATATGTTTAGAATTTCCGTCTATAAAATTTTAGCGAAACCAGCCTATCTATTGTCGCATATTAGAATTAGATCCTGACAAATTTTCCGCAACATGCTCTTGTCGCTCATCTGATTTAAAATGCCTTCAACCTCAGAACAGTGAATTTGATCGTTACTTTGATAAACTAAAGTGTGAGGTAATTCAACAAATTTTGGTGCTTTGTAAAACTTTGAATTTCTTATATCATTATTTTTAATTTCAGGAAGATGATGAAAAAGATAAAAAAGTGAAAGAGCAAAGGAAGATCATAACATATTTTGTAAAAAGAGTTATATCGCATCCATCATTTCATAATGTCACTTTCAAGGATGCAGAACGAATGCTTCAAAAATTTGAACAAGTGTGTAATTTTGCTCTAAGCATCTATCATCAATCAAATTTAAATTTAGTATAAAATGAGAGGCTTTATTTTCAGGGAGAAGCGATTATTCGCCCTAGTTCTAAATCCGTTTCCCACTTAACAGTGACGTGGAAAGTTGCAGATGGTATTTATCAACATATCGATATCAAAGAAGAGGGCAAGCAACATCAATTCAGTCTTGGAAAAACACTTTTGATTGGTACCGAAGTATGTCATATAGTTATTTGTTCGTTATGTCTGATGTAAGGGATCTATAAGCCTAGTAGATCCTGCCGCTCTCAAACTTGATGAAACAGATATTGCACTTTAATAATTTGTTTGTGTATCAACTTTCATAGCGAAATATAAAAGAAAGCTCGTCATCAAAGTTTGTATGCGGAGCAATAAGCTTACTTCAATGGCTGATTCATCAACTTATTGCATCATTGTGTTTTATTATTGAGGAGTCGTGATGTTGCATTTATTTTGTTTTGATGAAGTCTCACTTGGATTTCTTAATTAAATATGTGTAGAGCGAATACTTTAGGAATTCGAAGATTTGGATGAAATTGTTGCTCGTCACATACAACCAATGGCTGCGTTAGCTCGTGATGTTTTATCTCACAAATACTTCTTAGACGGTAAGAGGGCCGAAGAGAGAGATTCCATTGAAGGTTACTTAATAGATGAAAAAAAGCGCAATCCTCAGAGGATACCGTAAGTGCATTTGTTTTCACAACTAATTTATTTCACTCGTGTATCTCAATCATTGTAGACAGACATTCAGAAAGTGGGATATTAAAATTTTAAAAAATTGTATTTTTAATTTTTCACATTTATTTTTTATTTGTCAAATATTTTCTTTACAGATATACACTAACGCCATCACAAGATTATCCTGGAAAATTTGTTCTATCTTATCTACCGCGGAACAAAGTGAGGCATGAATATATGACCGTAACACCTGAAGGATTTCGTTTCCGACAGCAACTGTTTCCAAGTCTTGAAGCTCTTTTGGCTTGGTTTAAAGTTCATTATCGGGAGCCACCTCCAGGAAGTAAGTTTAGTTTTTGTTCAAAAGATTGTTTATTGTGTATAGAAGAGTGCTAATATTTCATGCAAAAGAAAAAATCTTTTTAGTGATAAGCAATCAAAGTTACCTTTTCTTGTATACGCATCTCTCAGCTCTTATTTGAATAAGCACAAATGAAATTACTTTCTGTCTAAGTTTGCAGTGTATCGTTGAAATGATTCCGGAGACGTTCAGGTTCTATTTTTACGTGGCTTGTAATTAGTTGCTGCATGCAGAATTTTGGTAATGTAAAAGTTCAAACTTCATGGATTATGTGTTTTTGGCACTTGTACATATTCTCATCGAAAAAAATCTTTATTGATTTAAGTATTCAGCAATTTTTTTCAGTCATCGGATGTTTACTGCTTTTTCTTTTTGCAAAAGGATCATCTGGAATCAGATATTCTTACTCATTTATTAGTAAATGACTTTCCTGGTTCCGAAGTATTTCAATTCAAAATGTAAATGAATATTATATCTGTCTGCACTTTTCTTATGTTGTTCTCAAAATGAAACAAACTGATGTCCAGTTTCTGCTAGTAGTAATGCCATATACGGGATTTCTGCAAAAGTTTTTACTGTAGCTTTTTTAAGCTTTTTTTAAGACTAAAATTATATTTTCAATTCGGAGTTGATATTAATTTGGTATGGAATTGGTCTAGACTATGTTTGAGAATATATTATTAAACATTGAAGCTGCCTAAAGTGCGCTGTGATTAAAGTGAGAGTCCAAGTTCATCACATTATAGTCAAATATATGGTGACATGAATGTTTTAGCAGTTTAAAGTATAGATTTCTTTTACTGGTTAAGACTGCTATGGCGCTGTCTATTATTCGGAAATAATAAATTGTTTTGCAATTGTCGAAATGTAAGAATAAAATAATAACTTGTTTTGATTTATCTGCGTTTCAAGTTTGTGCTCGTTATGAGTTATTACAAGTATACGGGACTCATTAGAGTACTCAAAATTCAAACGTTTCATTGTGAAGCAGTGAGATAGCAGTCAAAGTGACTCAACAGCATCAGTCCGTTGGTTCAATCTGTTGCAACTGTTGATAATGGATGGAAAGTGAAGATTGGTGTCAGTAGTGTTTAATCCGTGATCTACTGGTATTTTACTGCTACATCCCTCATTTTCTATTCATTTCTGTATTCATGAGTAAGGGTGCGGGTATGATTCGTCTTCTCAAGTAGCTAAAATTTTTAAGAAACAGGTCGTGTGGGATGTAGTTTTTAAATGAATACTTTATGCAAATAGCGAAGCAATATTTCTAGAACCTGGTACTTCCCGTTAATTTATTATTTTTCTGAATTTCTGTTGATTTCATTCCAGTGCTTGGTGTATCTTGCTTATCAAATGAGTCTTGAAAAAATTAAGATTAGGGAATGGCACTGATAAGTTAATTTTTAAGTGTTATTTTTCTGTTGTCTGTGAGACGTTCTTCACCTCTATTTATTCATTCGAATTCTATTAACTTTTTTCTGTTGTTTTCATTTTTGTTTGAAATGTTCTATATTATTCGGCGAGAATTTAGGAATGGTTGTGTAGTATACTGGTATTACATGATTTAGAGTAATTAAATCCTTAGAGTGAGGGGATTTACCGACCGCATTCATATGTCTTTCCAACTTACAGAAAATGATCTATATTTTCAGAAAAAGGAACGTATTCTAACGGCTCTTTTTCAGACTAACTCTTATAGTTTGTTGTTATTATCAACGTCAGATTCAACTTGTTCCTTGTTGGGTCATTCCATGATTTCATTATTACCTTAGTCTTTATCGAAGTTATTGTTGTTTGATATTATCTAAAAATATGTAATGAATCCGCTTTTTTTAGGTAGGTAAAGTTAGTGTACGTCTCTGAAGAAAGTAATACCAAAGGGTCGATGTCGTCCGATATCGACATCATTGAAATGGTTGATGATATACCTCGGCCAGTTGTTTGTAGTAAAGAGCCAATTGTTATCCGCGGTGTTGGGCATGTAACGATGTTTGTTTTTTGAACTTACTGCCATTTCTAGATTTGCCGATCAATGTTTGTATTCTTCCAATTGTTTAAGAAACTAAGTTTCATAGTAGACCCACTACTGTAATTTAGACAAAGTACGAGGTGTTTATGAATTTTGAACGAAACTAAATTTCATCTGTCAGTAATTGTAGTAATATTTTTTTATTCACTACATATCGCCTTTTTATTTAATTGTTTTGATTTAGGTTTGGTCTAAGCTCAAGATTTGATACCGAATTCCCATCTGTGTTAACAGGACGATTAGCTCCAGAAGAACTAGCTAATACAATGAAACGAGTTAATGGTGTGCTTGCGAAAAATATGTCAGGCAATATTCGTTGGCTTGTTTGCGGCTTGCTTTTTTGCTGTTGTACAGTTGGTTGTTCATTATGGCCCGTTGTTTGTCTAAACAAGCGTGTAAATTTTTGTTTTTGCTGCAGCAAACAATCTGCTTTTATTAATCGAACTCTATTTCAATATATAAATGTTTGTATATTGAAATCGAGTTTGCTGGTGATACAAAAAACGAATAAAAAACATTATTTAAGGCTTTTGACTTCCTTGTAAAGTTTTTAAAGCACCGTTTCAACTATACAGGAATAATTAGACTGCTAGTTACTTTTTGGGTAGCATTTAACAAAAATAGATTTGTTTTAGGTTTTTGGTGGTGTTTTCAAGTCCGAATTTTAATTTTTTAGTTGCAATAAATTTACTTATTTGAACGTAATTAAAACAGACCATATAATATGCCTTCCGAAAATTGGAGCTTTTTCATATTAATCTAAAAGCAATTGAAATATGATGTTTTCAGACTGTTCATGCTCTGGAAAAGTTATTGGATCATGAAAACCAAGCACTGTATAATAAATTGGGGTTACATTGGCGGTTACTGAGACGACCGGTTGATATTAGCTATACTATGACGGAATATGTTTTAATTATAGAAATTCTTCCGAAAACTCCTCTTCTGTTACCGGATTAAGAGCATTATTTTTCGGTAACTAGTAAAAGTGAGTAGTTCAGTTCCTGTTTTCAATTTCCTTCTGTCATAAGTGAATTGAAGTTGAACAAAGGTCTAATTTGGTTCCTGCTTTTTTTTCTTCTTAAGCACTGATCAAGAAGCTATGTAGAATTCAAACATGAGTTTGTGTTTTAGGAGATTTCAAAGCTTTATTTTGATGAATTTGTTTCTTTTTTTTATTTTTTCAGATCATTTGTAAAACGATTGTTGCGCTTCTTGTGCCATGATCGACGTAAGTACAGAATTAGACTGAATATGCTGAAGAAGATTAATTGGTCAGTTTATTTAGAATATAGAATTCTTCTGAATCTCGCTTGTATATCTACGCACTTGAAATTATTCATGTTCTTTCTTGTCAAAAGTTTATAAAACGTTAATTTTGTCTGAGAGCACAGAAGTTATCTTTCATTGTATTTACACTAGTATACTGGGTAATAATTGATCACCTTTCACGATTTATTTTATTCTATTTCTAAAGATTTATCTCTATTCTTTTTTTGTTTTTTCTGAATAATGTTATACTATGATCTTGTAAATGAAATAATAAAGTATACAGCTGCCTGGAATGGCTTAGGAAATTTCATTTTATGTTGATTGTAATGGGAAAAATATCTTCCAGAAGTTTGTCATCAAGGTGCATTTGATTATGTTTTTAATATAAGCTTTCCGAAAGTAAATATGTTGTATGTGTATTGAAATTTACAAAATCAGTAAAGCAGTGTGTGCAATATTGTCCTGAAAATTATTCATCATTTGTAAGTGTAATGTTTAATGTAATTAAAAATAAGTAGTTTCAACTAATACGACATGTGGAAGTTTAACAATGATTTTGCTATAAAACCAATGTATTTCGCATTTATGCGCGTAAGCTAGATGGATGAGTGACGCGGAACAGTTTGACATCACAGGCATAATGAATAGTCAAGTATGGTAACAGATGTTTCCATTCCTTTATATAAGTCTTTTGTTGTCATGAGAAGCAATGAAGCCATCGAAGTAATATTAGCGAACGAATAATGCTGAAGAAACAACGAATGATATCGCTGTAAGCTTAATTTTCTAGAGAAAATCAGTGCCGAATTTTGCACTTGAAATTAAGGAGGCAGCATCAAAGATTGAAGAAAGATAAGCGAAACAACCAACACGTGTATTCTTAGAAATATACTGTCAGGAATGGCGGGGAGCGCGACCTAGTAAAATGATAGCTTAATTGAGTGCATCAAAATTGCATTGAGTCACAAAACGAGGAGTAGAGGTAGAGCACGACGTTCAGTGGTTTTCATGAGGGTCAAAAGTAATTTATATCATTACCTCCTTTTTACGTGGTAGGCTTAGTCGGAGCGGAGGCTGGTATTGAATGAGTTTCATTATCTTAGTTTTTACCTCCTAAATTCTTCATTTCCGAACTTTAGTCTCCGTAAATATCTATATTTTCAGTTTGTCTTGGTTGATAGAGTGAAAAGTGCCTTTGATCTCAATCAGTTATACTTAAGTAAGCGTCATTGTTGCTGACTACAATAGTTATCTGTGCTTGAAATTGTTTCTTATTACCTGTTGGTTTTATTCATTTCATCAGTTACCTTTTACTATAAAATTAGAACATTTCATATTGTTATTTTGACATTTTTAAATTATTGTCATTGCTGATTCGTTCATTGTAATTAGTTGAAGATAATTAGAAACTTGATATAAAGGTAAAAAGTTCTTTCATAATTCTTTGCTTTTCACTATTTAATTTAGTTTAACTTTATTCTTACGTATTATTTGCATTCTATAAGATATAAGAATTGGACTAAATCAATTTAGAGTTCTCATTTTAAAATAATTTCTGAGTTATTCTAGTCATGGAGAAACATGCAAGTGAACACAAAGTGCCGTCAGCTATTGGTAATTTCTTGTCAAAGATTAGTTCAGTACGGCATCGTAGCAAAAGTGCAAGAAATTCATCACTGTATTCGCTACAAGATACCACTTCCCAGTCTTGTAATAATCATTCTTCTGCTGTCAATGTATGTCAAAACTATAAATACCTGTTGTATTTTACAGTAGTTAATCTAGTATGTTGCGGGTTCAGATGTAAATCCCTTATTGAAGGTTGTCTTGTGCAGTCGTAGTAATAGTAAAGTTTGTAATTTTATGTAAATTTTATATCTTTAGCAATGTCAAAGATTTTAATGTATATGTGATAAGAAAATGAGAAAAAGCAGTATTCGGGTCTGTGAGAAAAAGCAGTAAGAAACTTGAAAACTACTATTTTTAGAAATACATAAAGTATGATAAAGGTGCAGAAGAGCTGAAAATACGATAAATCGTAGTTTCCTCATTTGAATTTTCGTTAAAAGACGAGAAAATTTCATTGCTTACGTTAATACAACTGAATAAGCTTCAAGCTTTCTTAGTTTGCTGTTCAAAAAATAGCATGTGACAGATATATCTTTTTAGGTAACAAGTGAAATTTTGAGTGACGATGGAAAATCAATTACGTCTTTGTCAGCAAAACCAAGACGGCATTCATCGCCATTTGTTCGCATAATTCATCGGATGTCGATGAATCGCAAAACTCGTAATATATCCGTAACCAATCACGAAGTGCACAATCCCTCGAAACTTAATCAAAACAAACTGAGTTCTGGAACTGTAAGTTCATTTTTTATTTTATTTTCTGAAATCAGAGGAAATAATCATGTCTCTTCATATTATTTTATTGTAGTTTGCATAAGAAAAATTGCAGACATCATTTTTATGCAAATTAACGTTCGTATTGAGTACTTTCGATATGGTTGATCTAGAATTATTGAGCTGCCATTAGTGATTTTTTCTGTAATTTCTTTTTGAGAAAAGATACGGTAATATGATTTTTTCCAAGGTCATAATGAATGCACATGTTTGGTACTACTAAAAATAGTTTGTTGCTTCCTTGCATTTTTAAAATCTGTGATTAAAATAATGACCTTCATTTTTGTCTGATCTTTATTAAGTTTTTTCTTGCTCAACTACTTATTGTTTTTGTAATTCAATTTTTCATATGGAATTCTGTTACTTCTTCATCTGTCATATAATCCAAGCGTTTTATTAGCGAAAAAGACTTTTTGAAAACTTAAATGAGTTTATGTGAACCAAATTTAATAGGAAGGATTTTCATTGCATACATGAGTTGATGAAGCCGATCATATAGCGTAGCAGGTCGGAAGTTAATCCTCTTTTTTGTTTTCTTGATTTTCGCGTTGGATCGTGCTTCAGCGCTCTCGCTATATTTGCTGGAACGCAGTTATGCAGATTCCAGAGCACTGGTCGAGTACAGAATTTTTCCATATTCTTCACGGAGCTTACTTCAACAACCTCACCTATTTTTCTTTTATTTTAATTTATGATTCGAGGCTGAGATTTTTCCTGTTTATTATCTATTTCTTGTTTTCCTGCTTTATGATGTAATCGATTAGCTGGTGATTCAATCACTTGGCAGCCGACCTTTTTGTTTTTTTTTTTCATATATATTGTGTTTTCCCCACAATGCTATAGTAATTCGAGGGATTGAAAAATTAACGTATTAGATTATTTTAGATGCATCTGAATAGTTTTGAATTCTGTTACATTGTCAGTTCTAGGTTCATTCTGTGTCTTCCCCATCAGCGGCACATTCTTGTGAAACAGATATGTTATCAAGACCAGCAGTATCAGAAAGTGATTTACGACTTTTGACGCTTTCCAAAGATCAGGTGATTTTTTTTTTTTGAGTTTACATTTTATATTACTTCTGAAATTAATTTTTTCTATACCTTCATTCTAAACTTCAGGTTTTTAGTTTAAAAAAAATATGATTATTCCACTATGTATATGCAGCCATATATCAAAGGCTGGATAATTTTAGTTGATAGTATTTGTTTGGTTAATATTTACTTGAAATTTATTTACAATGCATGATATTCTTTTAGAGAATAAGGAATAGGGATTTTTGATATCTGTGCTTGAAATTTTTGTTTTTTTACGTTATCCATTATGATTCCTTTTTATATTATCGCTTTTAATTCGTTTTCTTCACATTTGACATAGACTTTTACAAGATGCTCAGTTAATTTTTGTGTTGCCTTGAAATACTTTTTTTTTAATTTCATGAATTTCATTTAAGAAAGCATTAAATAGTATGGATGATAATGGCGTTTGCATTTTAGATTTGTTTCTTTTTCTAGGAAATGGACAAAAGTTTAACTGCGTTATCCATCAACACAAGAGACGTTTATTCGGAAAATAATTTAAGTGCAATCACTCGTGTGCCATCTTATCTTCGTATTAGTTGTGCTTTGAATGGTTATCATCATCCATACCGTCGTCTTGATGATTCTTATAGATTGGTAAATAGCACGCCGGCAAAGCTGCCAATGAGTATGGTTGAGACTCGTAGATTACTCTTTAGTGGTGAAAATCATCATGATAATCAAAATAAGTTTGTTTTATTTTTCATTATCTTCAATTGTTTCTTGTAATCTAAAGTTAATGCTGTAGCTTTGCAATATTTTTAGTCATGTATAAGCAAATCAGTTATGTAAAAATTAAAAAGAAATATAAATATTGAATCATATTAAATAAATACTTTTTTCTAATGCTCATTAGTAAGAAGTAAACAAGAGTTTTCGACCCTTAATGCAGAACTCTGAATCATATATTATTACTGACTCAACTTTTGCCTAAAGATCTTTTCAAGTTGTTTTTAGTTCTCAGTCATTTCGAATACTCTTTTCTTTAAATACTTGGATATCAAAATCAAGCGTGAGCATATCTGAAGATTTCTCACTTTAAATTAAATGTTTTACAGTCAAGTATACTAAGATCATTGGCATGTAATTATAACATCTTTATAGCCTTAATTCTTACGATATAAATTTCGTGGTTTTTTTAAAGTCTTTGTGCTGGGAATTTTTTGAGAAGCAGTAATTAATCTCCATTATATGTTCACTTTTTCATTTGCAACTCTCTTACCACTCATTTTTATTTCGTATCAATGTGTAAAGCGAATTTTTTCTTTATCGACAAGAATACTCGTTATAGCTTCTGGCAGATTAAAAAAAAGAAATTAATAAAATGACTAATGAATGGAATTTTTGGAGCTTAATTGATCAGTACATTGATACGGAATAAATCCCTTCTGTCCATTTTTTGCATTGCCCAAATAGCGGTTGAAAATTAATGAAATCCTTGTTAGTTTTCTCTTTTGCCTTATAGTTTCATTTTCAACCTATAAATTGTTGCTAATAATTGAGAGATTATCATATTTGAAATGAAGCTGGGTAGATGAGAATATTCGGCATGAACGAGGAAACAGGTTGACAGAGTGCTTTTTATGAGTTAGTTATTAATTGCAGTAATTCGTCGATGATTTTATATATTTCAAAATATTATTCGTTTCCTTGCAATTTCTATTTGCCAAGAAATCACTATGTATACTGTTGTCATCATCATTAATAACTTGTTATAGTTTGAAAAAATTCTTCTCTCGAATGCTTGATAAGTTTTTAATTTATTTTTAAAATAGCCGTTCAGCTAATAAGAGTAATAATAGTATTGTTATTATCATTATATTACTATGAAATCATTATTGTCATTTAAATAACCGTTAGTTTTAGTTTTATTGGGAGTAATATGTGTAATACATTAACTTGATAGACTTGTAGGTATAAGATTTACTAACTTCTTTTTTTCTTTCAAGTTGTCCTTTTTTAAATCAAGTCTGTAATAATGTCATCAAGAAAATTTCATGATTGCATTTGTTATTAGTAGTTTTGTTGAGCACTGTTGATATTAGCTTTCATGTGTTGTTCTTGCGTTGTTCGTAGATTAATATGAGAAAACAGTTCCATTTACTGCACTGATATTTGAAAAATATGTGAGCCAAGTTATTTCCATTCAATTAAAAGTATCAGGTATTAATTAGTTCTTTGTTAACCTGAGAATATAAGCAAAGCTTATTGCTGTTGTATGAAAAGTCGGTATATTTGGTCATCTTGTTTTTCTGTTACATTTTGTAAGGTTGGGAGAATTATATTATATAATGTAATATAACATGTTATATCATATTATGTAATATAACTTATATAAAAAATAGTTTAATGGGTCATTGTGTTGTTAGGACTAAGAAATTGAGCAGATTTTATAGTTTGGAAGTTCTTACATTTGTCAACTTGTCTTCTAGGCTTGTTTTGCAAACTTTTGATATGAGGAGCTGTAGTTTACGTGATATTTCATTCCACTTCCTTTTCTTTTAATTTAGCTGTAATTGCTTCTTTCAAATATTTCAACTTATGTCAATTAACGCAGGGATCTTGTAAACATGCATGCATCTTATCAGCAATTCTAGCTAGGCTCACTGCTCATTCTTGTAGGCAATAAACGTCGTTTTCCCTCTTGCCTCATTATCACTCTCTCAGCAACTTCCAGTTTGCTGCCGTCTGCAGATTTTTCGTGTGTCATGCGTTAATAATTAAGCTAGTTCATGTCTTGTGGATTCTTTAACTTTTGCGTGCTACTGCATTGATTCCTGAAATATTATTTGATTTTTTAATTTGCTCATTTCTTGTCTCATCTCTGATTTTGTTACTATTAAAAAAAAAGAAAGAAAAAACGATGAAACGAAGAGTAGATTAGGAATTTAAAACTTACTATCATCTAGTTAATTCTGGAAATGCGATTTTCGAAGAGTTGTGAAGGGAAACTTTTCAAAAGATTTATTTGCTCACATGCTTCGATATGTCATATTCTTTGTTTGTCTATCTTCTCCATAGCGTGCGTGTAGTTTGTGTGATGTAATCAATGGTTATCAAAAGTCCATAATGTGTCTACATCAATATTACTATATTTTAAGCATCCGGGCAATGTTGTTTATTGCACTGTTTATATATATCAGTTGTCATGAAGTTTTTTCTGCTTACAATATCGCTTTGTAATTAGTGTTTTTATAATATATTTCGTTAACAGTAGCACTGTAAAAGGCCAAAAACATAAATTTCGTGCCGAAATGTTCATATCTCTAAAGCCTGATAAATTTAGCAAGTAATTATTTTGCTATTCTTTCTATCCCTATTTCGTTTCACATGTTTTTGAACCATTAATACACTTATCATTGTTCTGAAAATTTTGGACGTATTGAATTAATCTGTTTATTCATATTTTGTAATAAATTGAATAGAAATTATAATTATCTATAGTAACTGTATAGTCGTAAATTTTCAGCGTTTCATCAACAGAACTAAAGAATGGAGACGTTTTTGACATGAAAAATAATGATTCGAGAATGTTGGCACCAGTACAACAACTAGTCGAACATTTTGATAATTTGGTCGATAACAATCTGGAAGGTGGAACAAAGAATACTGCTCTCTTTTGGTTTTATCGGCTTCCATTTTATTTTTCAGTTCATAGTTCTTCCCTTTTTTGTTTCCATTAGGATTGTTTTCTTACCTTTCCTTAATTCTCAGATTGGAAAAATTAAGAATCCAAACATGTGAAGTCTTATTTAAAGATCTAAGTCAAGATTTCACTGAAAATTTTCATGCATGTGAAGCTTAAAATTCGTGTATTTTGAAAGCATTTTCCTTGAAGGAAGAAAAACTGAAAATTTATGTGACGATATAAATACGATGACCTCAGATGAATCACATACAACAGCACCCCTTAAGCAACCCCTCGCACCTCAAAATTCAGTTGCTTTTTCTAACGAGGTTATTTATTTTATTAAGCTTTTAAAAGTCTGATAAATTTAGCAAGTTTGACACGTCACATCATTATCTTCTACTTTCGTATATTTTGCATG